ACAGACATCTGGTGCAATCGGTTTCAACTGGGTGCACCAAAGTTTTAAACCACTGACACTGTAGGAAGTGAGTGATAGAATATGCAGAAATGAGATGTTTCTGCAATAAACAGGAAAAGAGTAGTCAAGAGTGGAAAGGAATACAAAGATTACGAAGGAGAAGAGGGGATAAAAAGAAAAATGGCTATAATGCATAGAACTACACAAATAAAGCCTTTTTACAGCAGAAAATGCAAAAACAACAAAAAAAATATGTCATATTTATAGTGTATGTTTTCTGCAGTTGCAATTTTATGCAAAACTTTCTACATAAAGGCAACAGCCTGAAATACCTCTAAAACAGCCCCAGTGGTGAGAACTATTAGCTATGTCAGAGGGAATATAGAAGCAACAGCTTGCCAATGAGACACAAATTCTTCCTCCAATATTTAGAAGTTTGGTGACCCTTAAGGAACGAAACTGTGCTATATTTGTCATTCAACTTGCAGCTCTATTAATACAAAAACCTTCAGGGAAAGCTAACGAGGCCATGAGACAATGGCAAAGGACCAAGAGCAGCATCTTCCACGACAAGTTCCAAGCTGCTCAACTGGCCCAACTTGCACGTTTGGGTGACGGGCACGAAGGAGCATCTACGCACACATACACTGATCAGCCTGGCACGTGTCACACCACCAGGCAGGGGTCAAACACGTTTCGGAGGAAGCCAACGTGGTGTCTGGTTGCCCATCCTAAGCGGAACCGTGCTCGTGAATTTGCCAAGCAGCTCGGTGCTCCGTTCAGCTGTGCTCTGGAGGGAGGACAACTGCGCGCCGCTCTTCTGCCAAGCGGCATATTAAAACATATTGCAACTCATCAGGACAGAAAGGAGGTTTCCATCTTTAGCAGAAGCAATATTATGACACAACAGAATACTAAGCTTTGATTATCAACTTCTTATTTTAATTGCGTTTAAAAAATAATCACCTTTCATTTAATAAACTTTCTTCTCTCTACAGCATACTGAATTTGATGGTATTTTTTTTTTTTTGGTTACACAAAGAACCAAATTATTAGGGCTAATGTTCTTATATCACATTTCACCATTAAAATCTCAATATTTTTTCTAGGGCTAAAGTAATGAGCTATTTAATGACATATATTGTGCTTAAGTCATTTTGGTTTCTGGTCCAAAAACTCTTCAATACCACTGCCACCCCACAAGCAAATGTATACCACAAATGAAAATGTACGCTTCCAAACACGAACTTTCATCTCTCTCTTGTGGTAAACCTTATGCAGTATACCAAGAATTTTTAATAAACCCACTTTGCTCCATTTCCAATAGCTTCTGCATATTATTCAAAATAATCTCTATTAAATACAGATTTGGTTAGTTAGATTTTTTTTTCCTAGAAAAAGAAACAAGGGAATGTATTTCCAATGACAAAACCTTAAGAAGAAACCTGAAATAAAAGAAAAATAAAATCTAGCTTGAGCTTTGCTAGCTACAGCTGGCAGACACGGGGCTGATGACATTAGATTCCCGTTTAGGTTTAAAATAACACATGAGAGTGTTACTGCCCAGAGCAGAAGCAACCCACACTGTCAGGACCGCAGCGGAATTCCATTCCCATGGAGCGCTGCCTTTGGGAGGGTTTATGGAGCAGGACATCCCAGTGGGAAGCAGGTGCCCGTGGGGCTGCCGGCCGCGCTCCCGTCACCGGCAGGGCTGACATCACAGCACAGTTGTTGCTATTATATTCTCTTTGTTGTAAAGATTACTTGAATTTTCTGCATTTGTTGCTGCAGGATTTAACTCTTATCGATGGCAAACCCCGACAACCATTAATATTCAGGTGTCCAAAGCAGATTCCTGTGGACACTGTAAAGATTACTTGAATTTTCTGCATTTCTGGCTGCAGGATTTAACTCTTATCAATTGCAAATCCCGACAACCATTAATATTCGGGGGTCCAAAGCAGATTCCTGTGGACACCATCCCTGCCTTGCTATGGGTTGGCTCCCAAACAGCAGCAACACTTTAGCCAACGGGCAGAAAAAACGAAGAGGTGTCCAGGACACCCGGACCCCGACCTCCAGCACGGGGCTACATATAAATGGCATAATGCTACATATAAATGGCATAATGCTACATATAAATGGCATAACCTCCAGCTTTAGCATTCAGGCACTTTATTTTCAAAAACTTGTTCTTCCTGCACAACTCAGGCATTAGATCTGTGCACAGAGATGTACAATTGTATCAAGGGAGGGGTTGCTAGTGCCTTGCATCAAAATTGTGACAAAGGGGGAAGGAGAAGGCTGTCTACTTCCTGCTTTTAACATCTATGCTCCGCAAAAAAAAATTCAGGTTTTTAAAAACACTATAGGAACAACTACAAGAATATCTGTTATTGTTACATGATTATTTCACACATGATTATTTCATGTAGTAATCATGTATGTTGATGAGATCAATAGATAAAAAGGGTTTGGAAAACAAAATTCCTTATTGTCTCCTTTAAAAATATATACAGAAATTGGAATAATGCAGCAAATGGGATGGAGCTGCTTTTGCCTATTAATTCCCCTGAGATAGAGGACAAGTTACTAGAAATCAAAGGTGGTCAATGGCACCGTATATCCTCAGCTCAGTTCTGTGTACAGAGAGAACAACACATTGACCACCAAATATTCGCCACTATTTTTTCCCTTAGCTATCAAACATTGCCCTAAAAAGCATAAAAACAAGACACCAGATTCCTCAAACACCAATCAAAATCAGCTCTGCCTGGCTAGGTGCCAAAGCCTTAATTGGCATTTCAAATTGGCAGTTGCATACAATATATTTCAGTATAACAAGCTATTCCCACGGTACTAATCCACTGGTGAGCTACCTAAGGTGAAAATGTAGTCGGTGCTTTGAGACCAAGGTCTATTGCTACACGATAACCCAGCCCCGTGGGTAAAGGCCTCCTGTAAAGCTCCTACACTTGCTCTTCGCTCCATTCCACACTCCTTCACACTTCCACACTCCATTCCTCGCTCCTCACTACGGGCTATGCCTACTACATTTGACATTCAAAACACATTTGATTCCTTTTAAAACGCCAAAAATTGCACCTCTGGTGTGACGCGTTCATTCCTACAAAATAGCTTTACCATCCACAAGACTGGGACCCTGGCACAGATGCTATGTTAGTATCCTGCGCGTTGTGGTTACAAACCCACAGGCATCGTGATACTTCATTTCTCCTTCACTGCAGACTGCACCTTTCCCCCATCCCAACTTTTACAAGTCATACACACAAATGAAAATAAAAACCTGAGATCCAAGACCATATTATTTAGAACATTTCAGCAATACTTGAACATTTTATTTGCTTATTTTTATTATTCATTCCATTTTAACTAAGATAATATTTCTTAGTTAGATACTTGCTACACTTCGTGTACTTAGAGATACTTTTGATGAATATCTGCAACAAGGTAAAATTAGGATTCCTTCACAGTCCATTCCTTCATTAGTCCATTAGGATTCCTACATAAATAAAAGCTAACAAAGCATCTGCCTGGCAACTGCAGCATTAATACCTGCCTTATTCTTACCAAATGCATTCTAACTGCAATTAGGAGATAGTTGAGTACAATTCCAAAATTAAGTGTTGCATTCAATGTCTTCATGAGCTTAAAAATGAACTCAGAATTTAAACATTAATTCAAAATAACTTCCATTAATATTCTTCTACAAACCACATAAGAGAATTTGGGGAAGCAACCATGACACAAAAAGCCTAACTGCATGGACGCTCCTCTGTGCTCCCATCCCACAGGGCCGGGCAAGGAAAGCAGGGTGGTTTGTGCTTATTTTCCACAAACTGACCAAACCTTTTCCCTGGGCTACTGCTGTGTATCTCTGCTTACACCATGGATCTGTCCTCCCCTGCTGGAGAGATTTCAGGAACTTGTGAAAGAACGAGCACCAAAAACAGCAGAAGGTTTCAGTTCTGTTCCTGTTAGGACACGCAGACATCTACATGCCCTCACAGGGGACATATTTATGCCTTCTGGAGCCACAAGTGCTCAGCAGTCCCATTAAAAGAGTCCCATTTAAAATAGGCAGGAGCTGCAAAGTAGAGAGTACTTCTGAGAGGGAAAATAAAAGACTGCTGTTCCACTTGAAACAGATCAGAACTCACTGCACGATCTATTTTAGCTTAGCAAACACATTTTTGAGCCTACTTTTAACTTTTCTGATCCCAGAATTAACCTAGTTTGTCATCAGAGAGGCCAGCAGGGCATTTGATTTCCATCAGGTTGGAAAGCTTATTGCAGCTCCTACGTTAAAAACATGTAAAGAACACAGTAATACAAAGGATAGGTAAAGATGTCTCTCTCGATTGTAATTAATTTTTTAAAGGTAAAGCTTGTGAATTATAATTTTTCACAACTATTTATTACAATTATTAGTCCATACAAATTTCCAGCTCTTCAGACCTACTTCAATGAAACTATTTTAATTACCTTTAAAAACTTAATTACAAAAATGATGAGAAAGTGAGAGAGGAATTATTCAGGACAACTTGCACACCAGTGTATCTGCATTTATATTTGATTCCTTCACTGTAGGAAGCAGAATGAGATCAACAGGCAACTACTCACATATCTAGGACAGAGAGAGACGGCCTTCGGATCAGCAGCTTGCGACCCGTTTTCATTTCTTTGGAGGGGGGAGGAAGCAATATCCAGCAGTATGAGATCCAGAATACAATTAGGGAATTGCAGGGCTTATTAGGATGGCAAGGTGTGGGTGAGATTGAGTCATGGAGTCAAGAGAGTATAACAGGAATGAGAGCTCACTGGCCAGGGCCGTGGAGTGCAGTTCACCAGCCTCTACCAGTGGGGTGTTCGGGTATGAGCGAGAGAAGTTCCTCCTTCCCCACGTCCCCTGCGGGGACCCCAAGCAAGGACAGCCCTGCCTTATCTGCACAACACACGTTCACAAGTTTGATACTCACAGCGAATTCCGTAAATCATGAGAGGGTCCAGCTGCTTCTTGCCATGCTTCCCCTGGCCCGAAAGGTTGGAGATGGCCTGAATTTCCCGATGGAAGAGATAATCCAGCAGGGTCAAGGCCATCTTCTCGGCCGTGCGGCAGTTCGTGCTGATGTGCAGCATGTCAGCGGGGGTGATGGGGCAGCGGACCCGCATTTCAGGATTATTTTCATCTCCAAGCCACGTCCCATTGGGGTAATCCTCTAAAAACAGAGAATGGGGAAATCCTAATCATGGCACAGAATGAAATAGTCAGGTTCAAGTTACAGTTAATATCTCCTAAAATACCATAAGCTCTTCCAATCTTCTTCATAGTCTTTATTAGTATCTGGCAAATTCAGAAAGACTGATAGGCTCAGAAAAGTTCTCCAACCCCCAACAACCACCACCAAACATTACTTCCATTAACAGCTGTGTCTGATCCACACGAGGAACTGCTGGATGTCTCTTAGCTTAGTCAGCCTCTGAAAACGCAGGTCAGCACAACCCCATGACTCCTGGTAGAGCTATATTTCTCCAAACTAACAGTTTGGAACCACATTTTTTCTCTATTATCATCAGATTAAAATTGATATAACAAGATTATGAAGATTTTAAGAAATTGTAATTAACGGTAAGTTGTACCTTATTTGATCGCTTATAGAAAGAATATCTTTATCATCGACAGTCAATCGAAACATACCAAAGCTCCCAATCAGTATCTTGAATTGCTTCAAGTTTTCTTACCATGAACCTGCAATACATCCTTAGCACAGTTTACCAAAGGAACAGCCCCAGAGTTCACTTGCAGAAGAATACATTTTAATTTTACTGGCTGCTAAAACTATACCTACCCTATACAAATATATGTGTACATATATCTATATATTTTACACATGCATATATATACACACATATGTGTATATATGTGTGTGTGTGTGTGTGTGTATATGCATGCATCTCCAGAAGATCTTCAATTTTCCACCAGCTTCTCGCTTTGGGAAAAAACAATGACTCATTTTAAGCCGAGATTTACTAAGGCCTCAGTGGAAACTCATCTTTTTTGGCAGTATCCAAAGTTTGTGGATTCAAGGCTAACCAGAACCTCAAGCAGAGCTCAGAGGGGAGACCAGGCCCAGAGCTGAGGATGCCATACGGGACTTTGGATGAGCCTCTCATTCCAGATAAAATGAAATTTCCAATACGAATCTTTACAGGGCTAATAGGAACTGGGAAGAACAATGTGCAGTCTACTATTTCAATGTTGACTGACACAGACCATTTGCACTTGATTCCTATGTTTGCTCAGCTTTCTGGAGCACGAGCACAAGGCCTCCTGACTGAGGAGTCACTCAGACCTTCCACAGTGGAGTTTTATTGCTTGCTTCACATACCTTCAGAATGGTTTAAAGTAGATATATAACTTTTAAACATATGTCTCTGTAATGGAGCGTTATGCTATATGCCAAGTCACAAATTCCAGTTTTTCTGAGCATTCTGTTCGCACAATAGAATAACAGAGTTCAGCTGGATGAGCACTCCTCATATTGAGCAGGACAAGGCCTCAGTGTGAGCAGCACCTTTGTTTTCAAGTACTGGCCCTGGTGGAGCAGCCTGTGTTTTACTGGGCTGTAAGTCAAAAGCGTGCAATAAAATGTATGTATAAAAGCAACTCAAACAGTAAAGAAGGCTTTTCTGACATGACCTTTGCCCGGTGTGTAACAGACGCAGGTTTATTGCAATGAATGACAGTATGAAAAATAGATTATGCAATATTGATATAGCATTACAAATACCAGATAGCCAACTACAATAATTTGCAAGAAAAACAAACTAGAGTTGATATAAATAACAGCCAGTACCTCGAGCTTTCTTCTGCTGAAACCGGAACTTCATACCCTGTTATGAATATGGTTTTTTTTTAAAAAAATACATTTTTGGGGGGTTCTGTTCATACCTTCCCTTTCCCCCTGAATTGTGCCATAGGGCACACGAGCTGTTTTCTGCTCGCAGTACCAGATGCCATCTGCAAAATAAGGTGGTTCACATTAACTATGACGTGTTTCGAATGCTACTGTTTCTGGTCTCCCTGCAAGTCTGCTTAACATTATTGGGGAAAAGAAACGTTCTGTTATGAAGACAAATCAGCTGTTCTATAAAAATTAAGACAGAGCTGGCAGAGTAAAAGATGTCACTGGATAAATGTGCAAGTTTTTCAAAAACAATTTAGCAAACTTGAATAAATAATTCTCCATCCTATCAAAATTTTACTGCCGGACCAGTTCAAACAATTACTAATAGATACAGAAGTTTATTTGCATTTACGGTTCATCTGTTCTCTTGCCTAATAAATGCTATCAACGAACATGAACTGAACCAAAGATTTTTTTCCATTTGCAAAATAATCAGCTTTTCACTGGCACCAAGTCCAGAACATACTGTTTTTACCACATGCAACTGTACTTTTTATTGCTAACAGTCTGGAAAAAGACACTATCTTGTTATTCTGAGCTATGAACACACATCCCCCCATGAATTTATCTTCTAGTTTTTCCTTCGCTTTAGAAACTTCAATAGAAAACTCCTTCTGCCTCTATATCATGCAGCAGAAATGCAAAGAGGTAACATGAAATTCATTAAAAAAAAAAAGCCTGTGTGGAAATCCCAGGGGCTTTTATACATTTCCACTCAAAAGTTTACATCAGTTCTTCAGTACAGTCCAAACTAAACCAGCTTGAATGTGCCATGTTATTTCACTTCCCTACATTAGAGTGCAGTCTTTGAAATGAAATCCTTCCTGTCAAACTGAAGGACATCTGGAAACGGTACCAAAACACTGATGGTGATGAGAGATTGGCGGTTTAGTCAAGCCCAACATACCATTACTTTAATTTCTCCACTGAAATAATCAGTTTTCCTCTATCCAATTCATCCTCCCCCAATTCCCTGTAACAGGCACTGTGAAAACAGAACCACTAAAAAAATCTCTCCTACTTAAGAAATTATTCAAAGATTCATACATATGAATAAAATGTACATAGAGGGCGGAGAAGAGATACAGAACACCCAAAAACATGAGAAAATGCCTCAGGATGATGACTTTAACCAACAGCTGAAGAAAACTTTGTTGCTTGCTCTATGTTTTACAGCACATGCTCTAGAACATGCTCTAGAAATCAGCCTGGCACTCCAAATTAAACTAAAATCAATGCTAAAAAACACGTAGCTTTTTTTTTCTGCACATAACAATATCTAAAATTAATTAACCTAACATTAACCTAAGATTTAGATCTTTATTTGTAAATTTATAAATAATGTAAGGGACTTATGTTTCCTCTCTGGCCTTAGAAGAACTCAGTGCATGTTCAAACTCAACCTTTCATTTAGATTTTACAGGTTTTGGGAGGAGGGTTCTCGGGGTGTTCGTGGTTTTGTTTTTCTCTTCATTTCTATTGTTTCCTTCCTGCTTATCTTGCACCATGATCTGCTTCTCAAAAGCTGAAGACAGGGTATTTTTAAACAGCGATTCTCATGCTTCCTGTCAAATACACATTAAAAAGAACAATAATATTTTTTTAAATGTGTACTTTTTAAAACTATACAAACACTCATTTGCACCTCAGTCTAAACATACATCTTTTTTGTACAGTAGCCCTGATTTTTCTTTCATTAATTTGCCCACATATCCTTTTGACCTCAAATCCTACCTGGAAAGCAGTTAAACTGTGACTGAATGCCATGAGGAAAAGTAATCCCTTGCATTTCTTTATGCCAAATACTCTTAATACCATACAGGGGCTCTTGATCATTTCTCCTTCGAGTGCTGAAGTCGTGACATTTTTATCTGATTTGCTCTCTGCACTCAGGAGCTCATTTCAATGACAATCTAAATTTCTAGTTCCTCTTCACTGTTTTTTTTTTTTTTTTTTTTTACCCCGAGATCAAAAAATTTGCCTTTATCTCCGTTTCAGTAAATCCAGAACTAGTTTGCTTTTCACTGCCGCTTCCAAATCTTTTCCCACTGTAATAAGTTCATTTCTTTTATCTCGCAGCACAGCTGACCGCTCCGCTGTGACCAGAGAACATAATGGTCTGAGCAAGCACGAGGAGAAGGGACCCGCGGCTGCTCCACAAACCCCATTACTATGGAAACTGCATGCGGGAGCTTTAAGCTTAATATCAGGAAACCCTATGTCCAGAGAACACAAAACGAGGGTCACTGCAGCCTTCTGGGTGCACGTGTGTGTTTTCCCACCCAGGACCCTGTGCTCCCTGGACCCTCTCCTGGGTATGTGGGCAGATGAGCAGTAAGGCTAGAGGTAAAGCTGCGTTCCAGCCACTCATTCCCTTAAAACAGTGATAGTAAAACGAAACAGCTGCCTGCACCAGCACTCGAGTTAACACGTGCCATTAGCCAGAGCAGTTGCGTTTGTTCTACAAATAACGTCGGGTGCAGATGTGGCATTTGCAGGAAAGGAAATGACTAGTAGCAGCAGTATAAAGACATAAAGTTGAATTAACCTTATGAAAATAAACCAGTTCCTAACCTACAAAAATAAACCATTTCTAAAGAAATTAAATAATATTTTGGCTGATGCACAGGAGTTTTTTTCTTTTCCTTTTTTTTTTTTTTTTAATAAACTTCTACTAATCAGCCTGTGTCCTTTGCCCCTGCAAGGATAGTGATTATCGGACAGGGACTACCACGTTCAGACTTTACCAACCAGCAACCATGGAAAAGCTAAAAGTAGGTTTAAACAAGAAAGAAAAGCACACAGTATATTAACACCCAACTGCAGAGATGTAACATAAAGCTTATAATAAAAGGAATACAGAATTATCTTAAAAGGTCTACTTATTAAAAGCTAGTTTGGGGTGGGTGTCCTGACAAGGAGGCAGCCCCACGCGCACACACAGGGCACGTGGAGAGCTCCACACACAATCACTGCCGTTACCCTGCCTGCTAAAAATGCAGCAGCAGTTTAAATAAATGGCTAAAATCAGGGGCAGAAATAGGAGACCCCTCTTACTTGACGGCTGATGGACGGCCAGCGAATTTGTTAAGCAGAAGTGGGAAGTAAGGACTGTTTGATCAGTTGTCACTCAAAAGGATTGGCCGAAAATGCCACCAAAAATTGAGAAAAATGAAAACCTCTGGGCTTAGAATTTTAGGAAAGATCTGTGAATGCAATTCAGTTTCTCCAGTTTTCTTTGGCTTTAACAGATCAGTGGGTTCTTGAAGTCTGATCAGTATCTTCATGTTAACAACGGCATAGAGTTTTTGTTAGGTGCAAAAGAAAGAAAGTTCCTTTTGTCTTTACCTGGTCATAGGGAGCTTCATGGAAAGGCCAAACTGCCGCCAGTGATGAGGGATTTAATCTTAGAGTGAACTGAAAACCCAGAGGATGGATAAATCCGTCTGTCTGCTCAGGTCACTGACAAAAAGGTGGTTGGGTTCAGACCTGCCCGAGCAATTCGGAGCCCTGTTTGTACCGCGACACTGAACAAGTGTTTTGGATGCAAAGATGTGGAGATTCTTTGCGAGGAAACAGCCTTCTTCAGGAAAAAGATATTCATCTCCAAGTTACCACATTACTGTAC